ATGCATAATAATTTTAATTAAATAATAATAACAATTTAAAGATATCTAAATGGAGCCTGGTTCGTGCTTTGTAAATGATTATTTATCAATCTTTAATATATATATGTATATATATATATATAATTATTTATTTAAAAATATGATTCAACGCTACATAAGAGTTCTCATGTTTCAAAACAAGAGCCTTTCTAAAATTTCAATATAATTATTTGAATTAAATTGAATTAAAAGACCAAGCTCTTTTCCATCTTCAAGCAATTTTTTTTTTTTCATAACTAATTTTGAAATTTACGCGTTTTATAAGCATATTCATTATTAAAATTAAAATTACTATGGTAACGGCAAGAACAGTTGATTATTTGAAAAAAAAGGACGTAAGGGGGTTAATAATTTGTATCAATAATTTTAGTTAATTCAAAAACACCATGTTGATACATGTTTTTGTTTAATTAATCCTGTCTAAAAAATAGTACTTACAAAACTGACATCATCAGAGTACTTTACAATAAATTAAATAATAATTATATAACAAAGATGGTAATCTTGATGATGGTTTATGTAAGCCCTAAGCTTTCAGACAATTAAAATAAAAAACATTATCAACATGGGAAAAATTTTGTTCAATTTTGATAATGCTAAAAAGCTTATTCGACAATATGAAAAAAATTTACTTAAAATAAATAGACAAAACTTGTCTATATTATTTAATGCATTAATATATATATATATATATATATGTGTGTGTGTGTGTGTGTGTGTGTGTGTGTGTGTGTGGCTGGAAAGATTTTTCATTTATATCAAGACCAATATAAATTTTCGTTAGGGATTTTTCTGTTTATTTTTTTTTTCAAAATTATGCGCCATTTTCCTAAAAAAATGTCACGTTAAACACTGCTGCCCGTAAACATCGTCGAAAATTAAGCAATGTCAAGCCTGGTCAAAACCTAGATGGGTAAATAAGATAATAACCAGGTATAAATTAACTTGAATGTTCTGGTGGTGTAATGGACAACGGCTCGGCATTGTAAATCGGAGAGCCGAGTTCCAATTCCTGCTGAGGTCGTTATATTCGCAAATGCCATTGGGAAATGTATGAATACACCTCTTCTGCCACGCCCCCCAGATATGGGTTAATTAGTAAGACTTGTATCACCAAATCATTATGTCCGAAGACATTCTTACAATCTAAACATAATTTCTGGCTTTAAATAGCCTACAAAAGCCGTAAAAATACGTACCTTTTTACTTTTCTCATCTTCCCTCTCTCTTTCGCTTTCTTTCACTTTCGCTTTCTCTCTCTCTCTCTCTCTCTATATATATATATATATATATTCTTCCACTTTCCCGCCTTTCGCTTTCTCCATTTCAACATTTTTTTGTCTTCCATCTTTTTCCCGCTTTAATTCCTGTTATACACAATGCCATCGCCAGACATCTAGACAAAATTCCTCATCACTAAAAAAGGTGAAAAATGTCTAATCATATGCCGAACTCAGGCATTTGTTTTAATTTTACCCCCTCCCCCTGGTCATTTTGGTACGAGGAGACTATACATGAGCAGTAATTACAAACAAAGCTTTCGTGTTCAGCCTGTACTTGTAAAAGTCCTGCATTCGGTCAGAATTGAAGATTTAATTACTTCTTATATTGCAAAGAGTTTTTTTTTTCTTTCAACAATTCCAGACGAGACGTTTATCTGCTTAATTATTTGAGAAGGGAATGAAATTCTAGCGAAAAATCGCTTTGACGTGTCTGGACAAACTGGGTGGCAGACTAGATGACTGACTGGGTGGGTGGTCTTATTTTCCAGGCAGCTGCTTCTCTCTCTTTAACCACTCAATCATATATATATATATATATATATATATATATATTATATATATATATATATAGTTTTAGAGATGGTGGTAAAGCGTACACACTGATACGTTAAAAAAAACATGCATATATATATATATTAAGTATACATTGATATGTGTCGCGTTGAAATAGAGCAGTGGCAAATGACGTTGTCTCTTGAATTTACTACTCAGTTGGGTTCATTCTTCAGAATACTCTATCACTTTTGCCTTGTGCCAGACTTATTTACATACCGTATATTTCCGCGTACAATGCAACCTTTAGATAAGACGATGTAAAAAAATATACTAAATTTTCATGAATTTATGCTATACCTGTAGTATAAGACGACTGCCCATTGATTATATAAAGATGACGTTATTGGAAATCTTGTTACTTACTGTATCCTTAGAAATTTAAAATAAACCAAATAACAAAACTGATTCTATATTGTGTTTTTCATACACGCGTCCCCTAAAAGAGAAACTATTGTTTTATTTACGTTTCATCACGTCATCTTATAGTGAACAAAACAAGACCTAGTTTTAAAATTCAAATGCTAAGCACTGACTCATTGATTTTGTTTGAAATTAAAAACACTCGACTTAGCAAACTTTGCTTAATACACACGCAAAATCGAATCCAAGACAAAACTCGTGAAATTTCACACCCTGATGCGAAATGTTTTTCGGACAATAGAAAACTAGGAAACATTTAAAAACAAAATTCAAATAATCTTCAATTCTCAGAAACAAAATTCTTTTACGGACCTTTTCGCGAGCCGACGCGAAGTTTGTTCGTCGCCCAATGGAAAGGTCCGAATCATATCCGGGAGTGAATTCCAAAATGAACTTTTCAAGCTCCACAAACAAAATAAAAGACGGGCAAGTTCGCCTGTCACCAGACAAAAGGAGACGAACGTATTAACACGCCCCTTGACAAACGTCAAGCGATCGTTATTATTATCTCTACCTTTCTCCCTCACCTATTTTATACTTGATAAACGAACGGAACATTTTAAGACTGAGCGATTACTTCAAAGACATTCCTACCCTACGATAACGCTCATACATACATACATGCACACATACGTTCCTGCCTACGTACACATAAACTCATTCTTGCAAGGGCTACTATGAACTTTTTGACGACCTTGTATCAACCAAAATACATTAATTTTATTTGTAGGGACCTAACTTGATTTATATGTATATAAGTTTGTCGTTTCACTTTATAATTTGATTTTCTTGTTTTATACTCCTCTTATAGTGGGCTATCTAACTGACACGGCCAAATCAAACTAATCTGTTTCAACACTCATACACTTCACTATAACTGATAACTCACTATAAAATCACTTTGACATGAAAAAGCGATTAAAAGCTGGACAGATGTCTTTTAATAAACAGATGAAGACAATTTGGTATAAATAAGAAAGGTGTTTTTTTAATTGAATAGAAAACTGGTCAAATCAGGACTTGATGAATAGTTTCAAACAAACGAAATGAAAGAATAGAATTTTTATAAAAAAAACTCTGCAAAATGGAGATCAACTGATCAATGATTCATCGAACACGTTCGTTCACCAAATGTATAATGTTCTCTGTAAAAAACAAAAAAAATGGCTAAATCTCCTCGATAAATGTATCAAGATTTGACCTTTCTCAGTGGATACAGGCGATACCAAGAAACACGTAGAATAACATAAGTTTTAAAATTCCAGTGTAAAGTGATAATTTTTTTTCCCTTTAAAAGATGTCAGCTGCATTTATTCATGTTTTCGCTTGAATTATGAGATCTCTGCAAAACATTTTTGGTTTCTCAAGCGTTAAGACCCCAGCTCCACCTTCTCAAAAAAAGAAAAAAATCCTTGATTATTTTGTTATTGCCCAACGTTTGCGTCCTAGCAAGGAGGGTGTGGACTACAAACGCGTATCCCCGAAAACAAGAAATAACGTCTCTGCCCCCCCAGTGTTGCAATAACCCACTAGAATCTCTTGCGTATACTGATTCTTTTTCCTCTTTTTTCCCTATATCTAAACAGTAACAAACGGCCTGGTGTACTATTTTTTTATTCAGTAAAATGGTTATTGAAAGTTATCAAAAGATAAAGGTTTCTGTGAACGCCATTATAGCTCATTTTCACGACATTTTGTTTTTGGCTTAACTATGGATACAAGTTGATTTCATTCATATGGAATTCTTCTTCGAATTGGCAATTTTTATGCCAGTTATATAAAAGGTAGAAATTATTTTATTACTTTTATTATTAGTTTATTTGATAATGTGAGTCTTTTCATGGACGTTATTGGTTATCGTACTGAGGCCGAGGTTACCCTCTCGACAAACATCACTCAGATTTTAAGGTTTCTCTTTTCAGAATTGTAGTATAAAGCGAACAAATACCCTTGGGAAAGGCATGAATCCATATCTTCTTCTCCCAACCATGGGTTGAATAGCAAGACAGACTGGATTCTTTAGCCTTGGTTGGCACCCAGTCTACCACAGAAAGAAATGGCAACCCATCGGGGGAAAAAAACTTGCCCCGTCAATCATGTATCGACAGATACATGATCGCCGATTTTATTTAGTCAATTGGAAATAACTGACTGAGTATAAGATGACTCCAAATTTTTAAAGGGGGGGTGATTTAAATATCGTCTTATACGCGGAAACATACGGTAAGTAAATAGTTGGGATTTACCCAATTCCTTCCTACACCATTGCCATTGGATAATGTTAATAAAATATTAGGTTCAGGCATAAGATAGATTTCCTGATTTAATAATTTCAACTTTAGGTCATAAATCAAAGTGTTTCTAATTTGGGATCAAATTGTTTTTTTTTTTTATCATCCTTCCTTACTAATCAAAGGTGGCGGTTAAGAATAAATCTTTTGAAGCAATAAAATTAAAAAATCCATCATCCTTCTACTAATCATATTCTGGCATTTAAATGAAGGGTAACTGATAATAGATAGATAGATAGATAGATTTTTTTTTCAAGATATTTTCTTTACTCTTAATAGATAGATTTTTTATATGAACAGATATTTCCAGATAGATAAATAAAATTAGATATGAACAAACTATTTTCCTCAATTAGAGAATTAGATTTTTATGGAAAAAAAACAACGATAGATAAATTTTAGATAAACAGACTTAGATATGAACAGATAGATAGATAGATAGATAGATAGATAGATAGATATGAACAGATGGGGATCGATAGACAGATATTTTGATGGAAAAAGTTTAGATAGATAAATAGATAGATATAAACTGACTTCGATATGAACAGATGGAGTTAGATAGATACATAGATATGAACAGACTGAGATAGATAGATGGAACAGATAGATAGATATAAACAGAGATAGATAGATAGATAGATTCATAGATTTCAAAATTTATCGATAGACCAAATATTTTTTTTGGAAAATTTTTAGATAGATACATAGATAGATAGATATAAACAGACTTCGATATGAACAGATGGAGATACATAGATAGATACATAGATATGAACAGACTGAGATAGATAGATGGAGCAGATAGATAGATATAAACAGACTTAGATAGATAGATAGATAGATAGATAGATAGATAGATAGAAGAGACAGACAGTTGATGCTTTAAATTTCTGTAGATAAAAGTAGCCCTTTAAAATGTTGATAAATAGTAAAAATTTGAAACAAACAGAACTGACATAATTTGCAATAAGCAATAACAAGAAAAAGAAAAGAAAAGAACAGGGCAAAAAGTAATATAAAGCAAGCAAGGGAAGGCAAATTAACAGTAATATGACAAAAAAAAAAACAAAACCAAGATTTAGCGTTGATACACAAAAAAACAAGTTCACAACGACTAAAACGTAGTGTTCTTTTCTAGACAGATGTTTTAACTGAGTCAGATGAAACCGCGAACTGGTTTAATTTATCGGCTAGAAAATAAATCCCAGCATGCATTTGTGTGCTACTGCCTATAACAGGGGAGGGGAAAGTCTTTTTAAGTCATACTCAGACATTGAAACCAACATGGACAAATGATTAGGAAGGAGGGCTTGGAAAATCTGATAGTGACAAGACAAATAGAGAACAAAAAAGACAGGGGAAACAACACATAATATACTTAGTGAGCTTGAGTCAATGGATAACGGAAGAAAGTTTAGGAAAAATATAAGAAAGATAAAGTTTATTAAGAGCTACAAGGGACAGGAAGTTGTAGAGAGCCATGATCGTTTACATCCTGAGTGGAAACGGCACATAAAGACGTGAGAAATTAAAAAATAAAATAAGCACGCTTTAGATGTGAAAAATCAAATAGTGGCGGCTGGTTTGAGAAACTTGAATTAAAAAAATACTATATTTATATGCGATTTTTTCTCTCCTTGTCGAGGGAATGGAGTAGGCTAGACAAATAAATAACAAACCATTGTGTTAACAAGTTACTACAAAAAGGAAACAAAAGAGAATTCTAAACAATGTTTTTTTTTATAAATTCTAAGTAACTTCTTTCCTGAACTTTTTCGAGTTAATAGTGAGAGAAGAAAAAAAATCTTTGTTCAGACTGGAAAAGACAAAGCTGATACAGTGAATTAATTGAGAACAGAAATACATATTAAGAGAAGATCAGCAAACAGGATCATCTCGAAGAAAACCAGACAAAAAAAAAAGCAGTGGATGACAGATGAAATCTTTGATATGTTGAAAAGAAGACAACAAACAACGCCAAGTTATGGCACAGAATCTAGAACACTGTACAAAGAAAATAAAAAGAAATACGGGCAGGCAAAAGAGGAAGTTTTTTACAGGATTTACATTGTTCAGACGATTAACCTCATCTTTTTTTGTCATAGTCAGTAGTCCGAACTATGTAAATACTGTAAATATTCACAACACGTCATCTCAGAAATATAGACAGATCCTGAAGAAGGCCGGAGTGCACGGCGACAGAAACGTCGTGGATATGGTTAACAAAGATGAGGACAATAGTCCGAATATGCAAATAATCGCAATACCTCATGGCAGACATATAAACAGATACTGAAGAAGGCCGAAGCGTAAAACGACCGAAACATCGTGCATATGACAACAAAGATGAGAACAATATTCTGAACAATGTAAATACTGTGAATAATCATAATACCTTATCGCAGACATATAGACAGATACTGAAGAAGGCCGGAGCGTACAACGTTCGAAACGTCGTGATTATGATGATAAAGATGAGGACAATAGTTCAATAAATAGATCCATTTTCATAGTGGCGCGTAAGAAACGAGCTGCACACAAATATGGGCCGCATTAGACAATCAGAAATCACATAACGAGAACATGTTATCCGAATTCTGATAAATTCGCCCTAGCATGGAGTATAGCTGCCATATATGGTCTGGTGCCCCTTGTGTTTGCCTCGGGGTTCTTGATAGGCTCCAGAGGCGGATATGCAATGCAGTTGGCCTTGCCCTGGCGTCTCGTCTACAGTCATTTTCTCACAGACGCGCCGTCGCCTCCCTCTGTCTGTTCTACAAATACTTTCATGGAAATTGCTCAGAGGAGCTGCATTCGCTGGTTCCCAGACGTCATGAGTTCAAGCGCCCTACGAGGCTGGCATCCCGCTCTCAAAAAATTCACTGTCAAAACTCCTAAATGTAGCCGTCTCTTCTACTCTAATAGCTTCATGTCTCGCACCTCTCGCCTGTGGAACTCCTTCCCTTCTCCTGTTTCCCTGTGAGCTATAATCTCCAATATTCAAGCTATTCAATCGACATGTCAATTGACAATCTATCTACTACCCTCATCCTTTCTTCTATCACTCCTATCTGATCTTGCTATTTTCTGTAACCCCTTGCGTCCTAGTGGCTTCCCGCCTTGCTTGGGGTGAAATGCTTAAAAAAAAAAAAAAAAAAAAAAAAAAAAAGTAATGTTTCGAATTAGACTAGAAGTGGGAAAGAAAGAGTTCCTCTTTCGCTAAAGACACTGGAATGTGATATTTATGCCCAGCATGGTACCATAAACATCAATACAAATGCGAAAAGATGTATATCAATGTTTTATAGATTATGCAAAACCTTTTTATAAGGGGACAAAACCAAGAACTGATCAAGTGCTGGATAAGCTTAATTTATTCGGAAAAGATATTAAACTACAGACATACCTCGGGTTACGTCGTTTCGAGTTAAGCCGTTCTCGATTATACGTTGCTTGTCAAAAAATATGGAGAAAGTAAAAAAAAAAACAAGTCATTTTATTCGACTTTACGTCTGTCTTCCACAAATATTAAAGTCGTAATATCACCAGAAAAACGTTAAAAGCACATAAAATCGTGTTACTGTACAATAAATAAGAATAAAAATATATAAAATCATATTAAAATACATTTACAGTAAATGTTAATATAATCATCATAAACCTTAGAGAACGAAATATGAAAACAACTGTGACTCTGTGTTGTCGTTTTATTTACTGGCCTGTATTTGTTATTTAACCTTATAAAATCATTTTATTTTATAATGTCTTAGAGCAAATCACATTCAAAAATAAAGAGTCCGCGATGTACTGTAAAGATCACCAAAATTGTAAACATCTACATTTACAAGTATGTACGTACATGTATTCGTAAATTTAGATTACTTTTTTTCTGTATTATATTAAAAACTAAAATTTATTTGTTTGTAAGCTTAAAATAGATTCTTATTGACCATATAATATTAAAAATGCATTTATAAATAAAATACAGAACTGGGATTAGTTAGTTGTTGCTTAGCCTAGTGACAAGTAAATTCGGAAACAAGTAAATTCGACTTAAGTCGCCTATCCTGGAACAAATTACCGACGTAAGGTGAGGTATACGTGTATTATCGTTTATTGTTGTTGTTTGCAGAAGGAATATCAGGTGTCTATCCGTAGGGATCGGGTGAAAGCAGGACGGATTAAAATGTCATTGTTCTGATTAGTAATAACGATGATTCCGCGAGTCACTGTGGATGTGCGGATGGGGTAATGGATAGCGGCTAGGAATGAGAATGGGAAAACAGAGTTCGAATTCCAATAGAGTTCGTCACATTAGTTTTCCCGTCGGGAAGGTGTGAAATTACCCCGAGTTATGGATTAAATTGTAGGATGTTTATCTGAAAAAATCATTGTCATCTCCAAGAAATTTTGAATGCAATGTTAACACGCAAAAAAGAAACGAATTATTTGAAAAAAATGCTTGCACTATTTACATGCGAACTAATTTCCCCATTTTTGTTGTTGTTATAACAAAGTTTCGGCCGTTGTGCCCTCTGGCCTGCCTCAGGTGTATATCGATCTGGGTAATCTACAGGGAATTGTGAACTGAATGTCTTAGAGCAAATCACATTCACAAATAAAGAGCCAGCGATATTTTGTAAAGATCACCAAATTATAAACATCTACATTTACAAGTATGTACGTATATGTATTCGTAAATTTAGATTACTTTTTTTCTGTATTATATTAAAAACTAAAATTTATTTGTTTGTAAGCTTAAAATAGATTCTTATTGAACATATATTATTAAAAAAGCATTTGTAAATTCATGTAATGAATATGCATACACCTGGGTTCCCCCTCACAGTAATATGATTGGCTGGTGTCAGCCATAACTACGAACTGATGTGGAGGTACATGGAGGACGCCTATTGGCTATACCTATTGCCTACCACTACGACGAGGACCGGTTACCTGTTAGATTGTCCTACTCGGTTACAGTAGTCCAAAAGCACTTTGCTACTTCGAACAAATATATTCCTTTCCGGGACATATCATAAATAAAATACAGAACATGGAATTTGTGGTTTAGTCTAGTGACAAATAAATTCGGAGATAAATAAATTCGACTTTAGTCGCCTCTCCTAGAACACATTTCAGACGTAAGGTGAGGTATAACTGTAATCCAAAACTTATACTGACAGCAAACCGCCTGCATACGGATTAAAAAAGAATTTAGTAAATACACACAAATAGAAAAGGGAGTAAAACATGAATGTAACTTCTCACTTGACTTATTCAACCTTTTCAGTGAGCTGATCCTGAGAGAATTAGATCTATTGGGGGCAACGATGTCAACAACATTAGATATGCAGATGAAACAGTGTTAACAGCAGGCACAGGAAAAAAACAGGAGGAATTCCCACAGGAGGTAGTAAAGGAAAGCGAGAAGAAAGGACTAAGCATCAATTCTAAAATGACGGAATGCATGTTTGTCAGCAAAAGGAACACTCCAAGATGCGAACTACGAATTGGTGTCAAGCAAGAACAAAAATTTAAATATCTAGGAAATCTTTTAATAGAGGTCTGAAAATGTGACACCAAAACCCAAGGGTGCATTAGAATAGGGAATAATGCCTTCCAAAAGCTAAGCAAAGTATTAAGAGAGAGGAAAAAATCGTTAGAAGCAAAGAAAAGTATTTAGAACTCTTATGTAACATCAGTGTTCCTACATGTAAGTGGATTCTGGGCAATGTCGTGACGAGTGAATAAGAGACTTGAAACAACAAAAATCTGGTTCTACAGAAGGATGATGAGAATAGCATTCACTGAACATTTGAGGAACAAGGAAGTTTAAAGGAAAATGAAAATAAAAATGACACTTATATTTAAAATCAAAAACAGACAGTTGAAATTTCTAGGGCACATATTGAGGAAAGAAGGCTTGGATACTTTGACACTCACAGGACATACTGAAGGCAAAGGAGCAGAGGAAAGAAACGAATAACTTACCCGACGAACTTGTGTAAATGGTTGGCAGAACATGGGCTAAGAGAGAAAGCTAAAAAGAAAATCTTAATCATATCTACAAAGCCAGAGGTGTCATCGCCTAGATCCTGAACGGACAGGACATATACCAAAAGAAGAATATATTTCATACATTATTATATTCATAAGGAATAGTTATTGGGGTTAATAATAATAATAATAATAATAATAATGATCTCCGGTTACGGAGATAGGACCTGTTACAATTCTATGGGACTACACAATACACACTGACAGAACAATCAAAGCCAACCGCCCAGACATTGTTATTAAAGACCACAAGCAAAAAAAGTGCCTCCTTATTGATATGGCAGTCCCTGCAGACTGCAATATATCTTTGAAGATATTCAAAAAGCTGTCAAAATACAAGGACCTTCAAATAGAAATCTCAAAAATGTGGCACATGGGAACATCAACAATCCCTGTTGTAGTTGGAGTCCTAGGATTGGTTGGAAAAGATTCCAGTAGACTAACTAAAGGGAATCCTGGAAGTCCATGCCTCAAAGAAATACAAGAAGTTGTTCTCACAAGTACAGCCCACACTTTACGAAAGACTTTATCTATGTAATATATATTTTTATTCTTATTTATTTATTTATTTTTTGTCAGTGGAAATGTCATGATGCCATTTCTAACCTTAGGTCTCTGGGCGGGGCCCGAAAAGAAATGTGTACACAGCAGAAATCAAAGGAAATTAAAAAAAAATAATAATAATAAACCTCTCTTCTGATAGATTTGCGGCCGTCAAATGCACCAAAGGAGCAAAACCATATGTGGATCAAATTCCTGGAAAGCCGAACGTATATGGATTAAAAAACAAAAACAAAAACAAAAAAAAAAAACACCATTCTCATGTATACATCTCATATTTTGTGCAAATTTCTCTCCATACAGTGAGCACAATTATATTATGTTTTTTTTCTTTCTGGTAGCTTGACTCAAATCTCATCTATTTGAATCTCATGCAAATAAAAAAAAAATTCTCTTGATGTCCCTGCTTGCAACATAGGGTCACCGTATACTATATCACATGGTATTGTTAACATACTAGCTGAAATCTTTTTCGGCTTTCTGGTCGAACTTTCTGCCTTCGAGCAGAGAGGAACACGGACGAGGCTATGCCTTCGGGCAGAGTCGCGTTCGGGGAGGTAGACTGACCCGATCCCGTTTATGCGGGTTATACGGGGAATTTTTGGCCGAGCCTAAGGGCTTGGATGTCCCACATTAAACTCGGCCTTGTGCCACATATACCCTCGTGGCGGGGAGGGGCTAGTAAATACCAACTAGCTGAAATCTTTTCAGCTGTGTTGGTCGAACTCACTGACTTCGGGCAGAGAGGAACCCGTACGAGACTATGCCGAAAGGCAGAGTCTCGTTTGGTGAGGTAGACTGACCCGATCCCGTTTATGCGGGTTATACGGGGAATTTTTGGCCGAGTTGTGATGGTCGAACTCAATGCCTTCGGGCAGAGAGGAACCCGTACGAGACCATGCCGAAAGGCAGAGTCTCGTTTGGGGAGGTAGACTGACCCGATCCCGTTCATGCGGGTTCTACGGGGATTTTTTGGCCGAGCTGTGATGGTCGAACTCACTGACTTCGGGCAGAGAGGAACCCGTACGAGACTATGCCGAAAGGCAGAGTCTCGTTTGGGGAGGTAGACGGACCCGAACCCGTTCATGGGGGTTCTACGGGGAATATTTGGCCGAGTCTAAGGGCTCGGATGTCCTACGTTAAACTCGGCCTTGTGCCAGATCTACCCTCGTGGTGGGAGGCCAGTAAATACCGACATGGTATTGGTAATATTATCCGTTTCTTTATAAGGAAACATTTATTGACCGGGAAGCCAATACTGCTGTCGCCTTAAATCTTTCTCTTTAACAGTTTTTCAGGAAAATAAGTTTCTTAATCCCAGTAGTGTGGTTTCCTTCCTAACCTTTTGTTTGAAGCAGTGTGGTTGCAGGTAGCGCTGGGCCGTTGGGGTCTACAACACTCAACTTAAAGGACAACATCTCGACAAAAACTGAATAAATCCTAGTATGCCATCGCTTCATATGTCTGCCTAGTTTAGCACACCGTATAATCCGATAATGTTTCTGAGGGCGTGGGACTTGATGAAGAACGTCCTTAACGCCAGATCTCTGGTTGGGAATGAAAACATACGAAAAAAATATAGTAATAATGATAATCTGGAATTTTAGTGCTTATCTTGGTAAGGAAAGCTAGGTAAATTGAACAGACATAATTATGAAAAATCATGTTGAAAATACATGTCTTCGGATAGATGTTGCAGCCCCAGCCGACAAAGACAGAAAAGGTGCAAACTAATATGGGGATCACATTCCTGGAAGACCGAACATTTCTTTTTACAAAAAAAAAAAAAAAAAAAAATCACTCTCATGTGTACTTCTAAAATCTTGCGTAGATTTCTCTCCATACACTGACTGCAATTATCTTTTTTTTTTCTTTTTTATAGCTTCATACCTCATTTATTTGAATCTTCTCATGCAAATGAAAAACTTGTCTCGTGATGTCTCTGGTTGAGACTTGGGGTTATCTCGTACTTCTTAAAGGGTAATGGTAATATTAACCGTTTCCTTATAAGGAAATATCTGGCATTCATTGATTGAACAGGTAGTACTACTGCAGATTGAAATATTTCTTGTAAAACAGTTTTTCAAGAAAATAAACAAGTTTCTTAAGTCCAGTAACTGTTATCGCTCTTTCCACTAGTGATTTGGGTTTCCTTCCTTCTAAAGTGGGGAAGATCAACATCTTGATTATGTCATTATTTCTCTTCCATTTTAGTTGTTGCTGCTGTTGAAAGTCTTCAGGTAATCTCGTCAGCCGCTTCGATACACAAAGTATCGCGGGATATCTCGTCAGCCCCTGCAATGCAATAAGTATCGCAGGATATCTCGTCAGCCTTTGCAATACAATAATTATCGCGGGATATCTCGTCAGCCCCTGCAATACAAAATGTATCGCGGGATATCTCGTCAGCCTTTGCAATACAATAATTATCGCGGGATATCTCGTCAGCCTCTGCAATACAAAATGTATCGCGGGATATCTCGTCAGCCTTTTGCAATACAATAATTATCGCGGGATATCTCGTCAACCTTTTGCAATACAATAATTATCGCGGGATATCTCGTCAGCCCCTGCAATACAAAATGTATCGCGGGATATCTCGTCAGCCTTTGCAATACAATAATTATCGCGGGATATCTCGTCAACCTTTGCAATACAATAATTATCGCGGGATATCTCGTCAGCCCCTGCAATACAAAATGTATCGCGGGATATCTCGTCAGCCTTTGCAATACAATAATTATCGCGGGATATCTCGTCAACCTTTGCAATACAATAATTATCGCGGGATATCTCGTCAACCTTTGCAATACAATAATTATCGCGGGACATCTCGTCAGCCCCTGCAATACAAAATGTATCGCGGGATATCTCTTAGGAATGTCTTGTCTGTCGGTGCAAAACCAAATTTGTTGTGGGCTATCTTGTTTGTTTTTTGCGCGAAAAATATTGCCAATGGTTATCTCGTCAGCCTCTGCAATTAATACAAGTTTCCTTTGGACACTACAATCACAAGTATTGCTCAAAATGGTGTTTTTTTTTT